CCTGTAGGATTATGTGGTATACCTGTAATCTGCTTTATATTGTAATAAGCAAAAAACTGTTTCATTTTAACAGAGACATATGCTGGGTCATTGCCAGTTTTAATTTGTGCAGGTATACCCATGATGGCCATAACTTCTAGCAAATGAGTGATTATAGAATCAGCTTTTTCAGAACTCAAAGCAGAATTGGCGAGGTGAGGCTGTAGCTTGTTCTGCTTCTCTGATCTTCCAGCATTCACCCCAATACCTGGCTTCGGGTTTGTTTTTATTACTATGACCTGTTAAGATTCGTGCTGCAAATGTGTGAATTTATTTCTTGTAGGTTTAAAAAAGTGTGCCTAACAACAGTCACGTAGCCTCACTGCTTTAGTAAATCTACTTTCTAACCATGGGCATTCTTCATTTGTACCACATCCACAGAAGATGACAGATGCAGGGCTAGTGTGCACACACCCATCAGTTAACATAGGGCAAAGCCAAGACTACCTGACACCACAGAAATATCCTCCCCATTCTCACCTTTCACTCTGTACAACTTTGCTTACCTTTTTAAATTACTGTCACATCAAGGTGCTCATATGTCCTACCTTTCCCATTCTACTTTTCTGTTCAGTTTATCTTGTCTGTTACCTTGATTTTGATAGTTAATTTCCCTCTGTCTTTCTTCTTTAATAAGTACATAAGTTTAAATTTTCAGTATTATTGAAACAGTGCTTATGTGGTGATTTCATTTAAAAAACGTATGCATATCTGAAAACCTTTGATTGCTCAGAAGTTGTGTGAATGCCTTGAAAGCTCAGTTTGGATTCCTCTCGGGTACAGGGCTACTTACTTCTTCCAGATGTGGCTGACTCCATCTGGTTCTTTAAGCTTATGCAATTCTCACTATCCTTTTCCAGTACCTCTGCTGCTTCTCCAACTTAATTCATCACACAGAAGTGTGGAAGGCCATCACTTTAAAATCTTGATTCAAAGTTAGGCATTACTTGTCTCTACCTCCATGTGCCAGATACTATCAGAGGGCTCAGACGACTTTGTGACCTCCTCAATCATATGCCTACCCATGCCAACTGCTTTTGACTGGGTTCAAATCAAGAAAGATTTGTATATGATACCATTTTCTTCTCACAGTTCCACTGCTTTGCAATTTTCCATTGTCATTTTATGATTTAAAAAAATGAGATAGTAATGTCATTGTTTTACTATCTTTAAAACCATTAATTTTAATTATTTAGGGTTATTAAATAGAATTGAAATGAATGAGAGCATCTTACCTGCTTTGGGATGAAAACTTCATTTAAAACATCTGAACAAAATATGTTCAATTCTTTCTGAACAAAGATTAAGACAAAAAGAGTTGCCCATGTCCTCTCAAAAGTAAAACCATCCTTTTAAAAATGCTACACTTGAGGTAGAAATCCTGATAGAATGTACAACTGAAGCATTAAGCCAATAGATAATGAATGCTCTAGAGAGGCTAACACAGCAAATACCAGAACTCCTTCCATTTATCCTATGATACCTTTATAATAGGGTATGATATGCTATCAGACTTTCCACTGTACACAACTGGAAAACTGAACACACATGAAATATCAGGTTGTAGATATCAGGCAATAGCCAGCATGGATCTGTAATCTCTGAAGTGAAGAAAATAAAGCGAGCCTTGTAATTATCTTACATATCTACCTGGTAGCTGATCTCTATGATACAGGGAACACAATGGTATCTCTGAGTTAAGGGTGTGGGTTTAAGAGTTCAAGCAAGTGGAGGCAGGTGGAGTTCTCAGAGAGATAACAGTGAGGAGAAAGCTCCATGGAACAAGGGTTCTTCGACTTTGCATAGTGGCTCTGGGCCTTCTATTAAATTCTGAGTTCTCCTTGTGTGTAATGGAACCCAGAAAAGAGACAAAGAACTACTGTAAGCTACAAAATCCCTAGAACAATTCTATAGGATAGCAGATGTTTCCATTTCAGTTTCAAAACAAGACTGTCTTCATCTCACAGAAAACATATGATTCGATTCATTCTCAGTACAGTAATCAAAAGAAAATTCTCCTAAGTACTAAATAAAAGGACACATGCACAGTGAGCAAAGCATGAACATGGACTTCACATGACTATACAAGCCAAAAACTGGGCCCCATCAAAACAGCAAGCGAGTCAAATTGTGGTACATCCACACAACGAAAAATTACTTAAGGAATGGATTTCTCCTAAGAACAACAATGTAAATAA